GCAACAAATACATATATCTTCCTAGCCTACAGTCTGTGAATCTAATTAATCTAATTAATGCCTTCCTAAATAAAGTACAATTAGGAAACTAAATGGGTGAGCAAAAATTAATAATTCACTCTAAAACATAAAAGGAATATTTATCACTTGTCATTTTGACTTATTTGTGCCATTTTTTTCTCTTCACAAGCTGCTTAAAAAGTTGATCTTTTTGTTATTTGCTTCTAAGCTTAGTAATGCAAATTTCTTTTTACTATGTTTAATTTTCTAAAAAAACAAAACAAAAAAAAAAACAACGAGATCTCTGTCCCCTCCATAGGAAAAAAAAAATCTTGCTGTCAAATTTGCTGTTGGGTTAGGGCATCAGATATTTTCAAAGAGGAGAGCTGATCATTCAATGTACTACAGAAGTCTCACCTCTGCTGTATTATCCGGCTTGAAAAGCCCTGCACACATGGGTGTGCTTCATGGAATTCTCTAGTACAAGCCGTTTTTGTTCCTTTGTTTACATTTGATTGTAGGATGGGACTGTGTTTGAGGTGTAATGGATATTCGCACTTTCTGAGCATCAGCACGACCATGCTCACAATACCCGAAGCAGGCAGAGGCCCAAGTATTATTCATCCTACCGGACCAATTTCTGCCCTGCGTATTCAAACTGCAATAAAAGTGAAAGGTCAGGAAACTGGAAGGCGTCCTGTATCCTCCTTACTTGTAAACACACAGAGTTACAACAACAGGCTTTCTTAAGAGTAAAAAAAAGAACCTGCTACTGTGGTTTTATTCTCTAAGATCCCAACAGACCTGCACCTTACTAATCTGTAGCAGCATGACAGATGCCTAAAGTCAACAGGAACACTTCTATCTTTCTTTCTTTCTTTTTAAAAAAAAATATTTTATTGAGTTTTTACAGAGACGAAGAGAGAGGGATAGAGAGTTAGAAACATCAATGAGAGAGAAACATTGATCATTGGCCTCCTGCACACCTCCCATCGGGGATGTGTCCGCAACCAAGTTACATGCCCCTGACCGGAATCGAACCTGGGACCCCCCAGTCCGCAGGCCGACGCTGTATCCAGTGAGCCAAACCAGTTTCGGCCACTTCTAACTTTCTACACCTAAGCGACAAATTTAACATTTTACCTATGATAAGGGGACCAGATGTCCAGGTCTGCCTAGGACACTTGTGATGTGTGCCTGGTTTCTTGGTGTAACTACCCATAGCACCTCTTTTAAACTTAAATGTTTCACGTTGGATGGCAAATTGTATGTCATGTTAATTTAACAGGTAGACTGAATACTAAAAAGCACGTTGGTTGAAAATGTATCATGGGCTCTTTGAAGTAGAAAGTTGGTACAAAGCGTTTGGCAAATCAGGGTCACGGCTTAGACTGGATCCATGTCCTCCCATTTCTCGGGCCAATGACATCAGTAAACGTTGAGGAGGAATAACACGATAAATTAAAATGCAGCCATTCTGATCATAAGCATTTTAGAGGAAAAATAACCTCAGAAGTCATCTGGCCCAATATCTTCACTTTTTCTTCTTTATTGATTAAGGTATTACATATGCGTCCTTATCCTCCCATCTTCAATTTCTGAAGGAAGAAATAATATAACATTCTGGAAATGTCTGTATCACTTTAGTTTCCTAGGCGGTTTCATGAGCACAGTCTCACCAGACCACAACTGCAATAAACAGGCAAGGAAGGAAGTTCTCAGCCACATTTTACAGAGAAGAGAAATACATTTCAAATAAGCTTAACAACCTCAGCCATGGATGTGTGACTTTTAAGCAGAGGTGTTAAAATTGAAATACAGGTCTGACTCCTTGCCTAGTGCTTTTCTACTACTCCATGCCAGTGCAATGTTTTCATTCAGTATGGGAACTTAAAATGTATCCTCTTTCGCCCTTGCCAGCGTAGCTCCGTGGTTGCGCACTGACCCAAGAATCAAGACATCTGGGTTTGATTCCAGGTCGGGCACATGCCTGGGTTGCTGGCTCGATTCCCAGATGGGGCTGTGTAGGAGGCAGCCAAACAATGATATTTCTCGCTCATTAATGTTTCCATCTTTCTTTCCCTTCCTCTCTCTCTCTCTAAAACTCAATAAAAACATATTTAAAAATAAATAAAATAAAATGTATCTTCCACATACACTTTACCCATTAAAGATATACAAACATCCCCTCTGTAATTAATATTCAAAAACATTTTACTTCTGCTTCCCTCTTAGTCTTCCCACCTACAGAGGGCTCTGGCCAGCAACAAAATTGTTCTTATCTGGCAGCGCTGCTTGGTGGCTGGCTGGGGAAGTGCGACACATAAAATCTCTTCCTCCTTGTCCCTTGGGTAGAAGGATGGGGAGAGGATCATGCAAAGTAATCTCTGGCCTCCTCTTGATGGTTCATTGATTCTGTCTCAAACACCCTGCTGCTCACATTCATACTTTTCAACATTCCCCTTCTTCCTCTCTCCCCCTCTTCATTTCATCCATGACACAAATGTAGCTCTGATTATTATGTGTTTATACGATAAAGGAAAGTCATACTTTTTGCAATGAAAATAAAGTTCAATCTACAATCAATAAGCATTCAGTGGACACCCTACAATGTGTGCTGTAATCCTCTAAGATCATCAAAAGTCCCCTGAAAACCTCTTCAATATCTGCGCCAACACCTCCTGTCTCTAAGCCAGATTTTAACTAAAACTGCTTTTTCTTCAGCATTTGCTTTCAAAAATGAAATGAATTCTTATTAAATTTCACTAGGATATTTTAACAGAATTATTTTCTACCTCCCTTCCCTCTACCCATTCCTGCCCCCCAGTAACAAATATGTAACATTTATTTACATTCTTTCTTGTGGGTCAGCCTTGGAGTCTACCTAGAATTTATAATGTTCTTTCCAGATAAAACCTTTTCTGACTTCCAAACCATCGTCATAGAGGTAGACCTTTGGAAAAGCAATTTGCTTAAAATATGGATATCTTTTCTAAGGAAATAATGGAAATGAGATTGTCCTCTTTCATTAGCCTATTTCTAAGGAGGTAGATTAATACTCTATTATGGCACATTCAAAAAGGAAGCCTAAAGTTTGATTATTATCTTTCACCACTTCCTTTTGTTTCCATACACAAAACTTTGGATTAGAACATGAGTTATCAATAAAAAAAAACAAAAAACCAAAAAAAAGCCTCAGTGTGTATACAAATAATTTTATGTCCGGGATTAATTATTGACTCACTGCTGGTAGTCATTCACAGACACTCTCACTTCCAATAGTTGCCATAATATCTTGCTATTTTCTATAAGTGGCCATAGAGAATTCGGGCCACCGAGGGACTTGTTGCAACCACAGTTTTAGGAAGTTCCTTCATCAACTCAACCAGACTCTGTACATCTAGGGATTAGGTAGAAGAAATAGTCATTAAGATCCATCTGGTCTGGTTGAAGCCCAGCTTTCTATTCTATTCTGTTGGCGGCAGTAACTTTTTCTCATTTGCATCCTATATTATTAACATAATGTCACCTTTCAATTATGTCTGTGCCAATTACAGACAAGCCAGTGGGGAAGAAGAGCCAGTCAGGCTAGGGGTGCTGGTGACATTAACTGAGTCACTGGCTTGTCCATTGATCAGGGTCAGAGATGTCTGGTCACCCCCCATGAGAAACATGCCTCAGGGAAGGAGACGCTGCTCCCAGGCTAGCCCCATATTTAACATGTCTGAGCCAGAGCAGACACAGGACACCACATTGCTTTACTGCCCCTCTTTCCATAACCACTCATCAAGGCTTTTCTGTCTGCGTAACTGCTCAATACAAGGAAGAAATACAGAGTAGTGGTTAATAACATGGATGCAGGAGTTAGACCTGCTGGGCTTAAACCCTGCTCTGCTCCTCATTGGATTTGTATTGGGGAAAAGTTTATATACATCCCCTTGGGGGGGTTATATACATTTGCATCTACATCAGTTTCCATATGTGTAAAATGGAGCCATTAAGAGGGCCTATTTCTCGAATGATTGAGTTAATGCATTTAAGACATTTAGGACCGTGCCTGGTGCATAGTAATCACTCAACACATATTTTGTTGTTGTTATAACAGGGGCAAGGTTTCTGACTGCAGTTCAAAAATATGAGTCAACTCCGTACTGTTTGAGGCAGTGAGGACCAAGAGATATTAGAATGTTGGAAAGTTATTCTCTCCGATGTTGTGTTTCGGTTTTGAACATGGCCAGTCCTAGTTGTTGAAAACACAGAGCAGTGTCTTCCTAACTTATGTTCTAAACCACGTCATGCCAGATGGCATCATAGAAATTCAGTTTAACAGACATTTAATGAATACCTATTATGTGCCAGGTACTTCTAAGGAAAGCAGGAGAGATTTAAATGTATAAGAGATGACATATCCACCACAGAATATAATTTAGTAGGGCAGACAGGCCCATGAACAAATTATTTCAAAAACAATTTCCATTGGGTCATTATTCTCATAGGACAAGACGACCTAGAAAAATCTGCTCACCAGTTCATAGTATATTTGTTCCTGCTTGTTTTTAACTTTCTCACTACTCATCTTCTTTCCTATTAATGTTTCCTCATTAGTAGGTAAAAGAATAAATTGGGGAGTGAAGTAGAGGAGTGAGCAAAGATACCATTAAATTGGTGAAAATACCAATAATTAAGTTGAAATCAATACACGATGTGGAAGTACCAATGGGAACATATGCTTAAGACATGACCCCACCCCCACTTGGTTAGTCTTCAGAACTTCCACCAAGGGAAAGCTCTTCTCATGAAGCAATATAGACAGCATTTTATTTTTTTAAAGGTTCTGGTTTCAAGTAGTGTGCTTTGCGAGCCCCGACAGCTTAAAAAGGGGACTGTTCCCCAGAAAGAGTGAAACTTAAAAGCTGTTCTGGCCAGTTTGCCACCCAAGAGATGCCCCACTGAATGCTCGGCTCACACTTATTTAAAGAACAGTATTGCCGAAACCGGTTTGACTCAGTGGATAGAGTGTCAGCCTGCAGATTGAAAGGTCCCAGGTTCGATTCCGGTCAAGGGCATGTACCTTGGTTGCGGGCACATCCCCAGTAGTGGGTGTCACCTCAAGAGGCAGCTGATGGATGGCTCTCTCTCATCGATGTTTCTAGCTTTCTATCCATCTCTCTTCCTCTCTGTAAAAACTCAATAAAATATATACTAAAAAAAAAAAAAAAAAAAAAAAAAAAAAAAGAACAGTATCTTCTGTAAGCAGGCACCTCACATTTTAGAAGCACTGTCCCTATAACTACATATGAACTTTTGCTCCATCAACTTAAATTTCAGTTTGCTCTTAATTCTGCTGGGCTTCCTGAAATGGGGGGGGGGGGGGGGGGAGAAAGAGGGAGGGAAGAGGGAGAATCTAGAAATGAGAAAAGAAAATCCAAAGAGGAGGGCCTCGAAAGCAGTAAGCTGAACTAGCAACAACACAGAGCAGATACAGATGTGCACATCAGACATGCAGAACTCCAAAGAAAAGAAGGCAGCACTTCCTATTTGTAAGCCTTGGATTAACTATGAAGCAATGCAATCCCAGCGCAGGGATGAGACATCGAAAAATCAAACCTCATGATTTCTTTGCCTGACAAAACTTGGGGGAATAAGACCACGTGGAATGAGATGGTCCCTGGTGACCGGTTGGAATGGCATGAATTCGAGTATGAGTTAGCATCTCCGTCTTCCTGCCTCCCTGAGTCAAGTGCAGCATGTTCTGGGAGAATTCTGTGCTTGTCAGTGAGCTGGAAGGTGGTTCTTAGCTTTTTACACTGAGCTCTTAACCTTTTATGCTGGGTCAAAAGTTAAGAGCTCAGCTCTTACTGGACAGACTTGAACCAGTACCCCCAGTTTATCTGCACCTCCAAAAATGGAGTCAGAAAAAACTCGAAAGGGGTGATTCCATCATCTCTGTTGCCGTGGTGGGAAGTAGACACTAGGGCTTTCCAGGGAATGTGTGGAGGTCAGTGAGAAGGCTGCAGCCGCAGCAACGGGAATGAGGCTGGAGAGACCACAGCGGGACTGGCCCACACAAGAAAGATGGGCCCCTGATCCAATTCTTCACTAAAAGTGACCACGACTAAAATTAGAGCTCAGTGGTCCAAATCAGAGATTCAGAGATATCTTAGAACTTTTGGCATCAGTAGAGCATGAGGAGAATATACAGTATTTTGAGGGTCTAAATAGATCTGGATGCTATTGGCATCACAAACTGCCTTTCCTGCTGTAGCCAAAAGAAAAGGTAGATTTCTGAGCCTTCTTCTGACTCTGTAGATAAGTGAGTTAACCTTTCCTGATTGCAAAACAGGGCTAATCCCATTCTACTTCCTAAGAAAGGACTGCGAGAGAAATGAAAAGAACTGATATCTACCAGCTATTGACCTGTAGCTCAGCACCCCATAAATCGTGGTATTGCAGTTCCAACACTTGAACACATTATTCGATTTTACATGATTATACCCTGTTTTAAACTCACAGCCTCATAGTTCCTCTCTTTTATACTTCCTGTCTGTCCCAACATCTTTTTTCCTTCTTCATTCAATCATTTTAAATTCATCTCCGCAGTTTTTATTTAGAGACTTCAGTACTCACTTTTTTTGGAGAGGGCAATAATGGATATGGTTAATACAGTTTTAAAGTGCAGAATCCAGTTCTGACTCCTGTAGATGGGAAAAATCGTAACATTTTCAACATAATACAGACAAGGTCTGCTGTAATTAGTTTTCCATACATCTTTTGCATTGTTCTTGGTCACCAATGGAAATAATGAGCTAGCCTGGAGACAAAGTCTAAATTCTTTAAAAATACCTCAAGTCTCCTAGGCTGGGACAGGAAATACTCTTATAAGCAAACAGTAAACATTTGGGACCTTTTAGCCCCAAGAAGTTAAACAGGGTGAAAATATAAATAGCTTCAGGAAGGTTTAGATATTATTCATGGATAAAAAGAATACATAAAAATAATAGTACCCTGTGAGTAAGTGGTTAGAGCATTGGCCTACACACCAAAGGATCATGGGTAAGGGCGCACATACCTGGGTTGAGGTTTGTTCCTGCCTCAGTCAGGGCATGTGGGAGGCAACCAATTGATGTGTCTCTCACATAAATGTTTCTCTCTCTCTCTCTCTCTCTCTCTCTCTCTCTCTCTCTCTCTCTCTCTCTCTCTCTCTCTCTCCTCTTTTCCTCCCTCCCTCCCTTTTACTCTTATTTATAAACAATGGAAAAATATCCTTCAGCAAGGATTAACAAATAAAAAAAAATAGCAAAAAGTTAAAAATTTAGCAATGCAAGTGTTGATGAGGATATGGAGCAAAGGAAATACTATGCACTGCTGGTGGAACTGTAGTTTTGTTCAACAACTTTGGAAGACAAGTTAAAATTATGTTGTAAAGTATGTAGCCACATACCTTATGACCAGCTCCACTCCCTGTATATATCCTGGACAAACCCTCCTAGGTGTGCCTCAGAAGGCATAAATAAAAATGTCCAGAAAGAGAATGTTCATCATAACAAAAAAATGCAAAAAAAGGAAAACCTAAATATTCACAAAAAGAAAAGAGCTCTGAATATGAACATCTCTAAATATAGAAATATGAATGAGTCTTGCAAGCATGTTTGCTAAAAAAAAAATGCAATTTACAAAAATATTATATGTAGTGATACCGTTTTTATACATCTCAAAAACATACAAATCTTTTTTTAAAAAGTGCTCTTTTAGGGAACTGTATATATGTGATCGAACTAATTTTAAAAGCAAGAAAATGATTAATACAGAAGTCAGAGTCTTGGTTTCTTCTGGAGGCAGAAAAGCCAGAGGATGAGATTGGGAAGGAAATACAAGTAGCTTCCATAGGCCTGGTAATAATTTAACTTTGCTTAATTTATGCTTCATAACTTATATGTAATATATACATATATATACATATATATATATATATATATATATATATATATATTCTTGATACCTAATAATATTTGCATGGGAAATGAAAATTCTTACCTCTTTAATTATCTAGGTAGACTTGATGGAAAGCAACTCTCATGCTTGTTCTGAAAATGTAATTTTAAAAGAACAAAATGTACTTTTGTAAATATACAAAATTCAGATGAAACAGAAGATACAATTGATCTGATCAAAGGTGCCTTTTCCTAAGAAAAATAAATAAAATGTCTAATTTCCAAGTAATAAGTGTGAAAAACCTGAAAAAATATATAAAGAAGAAAAAATTTAGGTCATCTGAAGTCCCACAATCTAGATGTAACCACTGTTAATGTTTTGTTATATTTTCTTCCAGTTTGTTTTTTTCACTATGTAAAATTTGAATCAATATAGCATTTAAAAATGCATTTTCTCATAAAGGCTTGGAATCTTGTTTCCCTGGAGACAGTAATGACTATATATATATATATATATATATATATATATATATATTCATAGTCTAATGTGCAGTTTTAAGTTCTATTATATAAGTTGTCTGTATAAATGACAACTTAACTTTTGGCATTTCCCACACTGGAACATATAAGGAATTATAGGAGGACAATCAAACCCAAGGTTGGCAAATCTTTTTCACTGTAATTGTTAGCTTCTAAATCAATTATGGTATGATGGGGTGGAAGAAATTTTTCTTTTGGTGACCTGCTTTCTTAAGCTCTGATCTCAACACAAGAATACATTTTTTTCTGAAAGTTTTCAAAAAGGATTTTACATTATTTCTAATTTTTGAAACCATGGAAAATAGTCTTTTGATAATTCATAAATTTAAAGGCAATTTCCCTATTCCTGACCATATATATCAATACAAAAGATTAATAGCAGGCTTTTTACATTTTCCCCCCATGTGTATTTTTAAAACCTTATTCCTTCAAAACTACCTCAACTTACCTTCTCTTGAACTACTGAGAGGATACACAGTATTAAAGTTAGAAGATATTTCAATGCATCTTTATAGCTATTAAGATATAAGAAGCTTGCCCTAACCAGTTTGGCTCAGTGGATAGAGTGTCGGCCTGTGGACTAAAAGGACCCAGGTTCGATTCCAGTCAAGGGCATGTACCTTGGTTGCATGCACATCCCCAGTAGGAAGTATGCAGGAGGCAGCTGATTGATGTTTCTAACTCTCTATCCCTCTCCCTTCCTCTCTGTAAAAAATCAATAAGATGTATTTTTAAAAAGATATAAGAAGCTCTAAACATTTAAAGTTAATAGTAAGGATTAAACTGCAAAATCTTATAAGAGCTGGAAAACATTTTATGTCTCTCCCATGCTGGATTCTTTAAATGTGGTTCTGCCGAAACCGGTTTGGCTCAGTGGTAGAGCATTGGTCTGCGAACTGAAGGGTCCCAGGTTCGATTCCGGTCAAGGGCATGTACATTGGTTGCAGGCACATCCCTGGTAGGGGGTGTGCAAGAGGCAGCTGGTTGATGTTTCTCTCTCATCAACGTTTCTAGCTCTCTATCTCTCTCCCTTCCTTTCTGTAAAAAATCAATAAAATATATTTTTATAAATAAATAAATAAATAAAATGTGGTTCTGATTCAGGAGATCTGGGATGGGCTGGACCTTCCGACAGGCGACTCACAGGCCCAGTCAAGCATGGGAACTACTACCCCCAGCTAAAAGACGTTAACCAATCAAACAACAAAATAAAACTCTCTTCTTTAACCAGACCTGTGTTAGTGTGGGGAGGCAGATCAATAGTCCACTCCTATTTGTCAATTTCTGAGAGACACAACTTGGGTGATTTCTCTCCCACCTCATCCAGAGTAGTTAGTAAGTGATGAGTGGCAAACTCTAGCCCCTTCTAAAGACCAACCACCTTTTGGGGAAAATGGCAGCACATTACCCCCCCCCCCCCCACCTCCCACACACACACACTTAATACAAAATGCTTCAAGAGTCCATTGCTTCCAGGAAGTTCACAGTGAACATAAAGGAAATTCCAAGCTAAAGAAAATTGGGAGATGAGCCTAAAGGATGATTCATCTGCTTTTTTTTGCTGTTGGCCTGCTCCCCATGGGAATCTGTTTATGAGGAGTATCTGCCCATCTTTTCCTCCTGGTTTGATATTAGTGGCTTTACAAAGAGGTCAGAATGGCTAGGAGAGGGAGAAGACAAGTGTGAGTCCGTGGCAATCTCTACTAGTTACCAATTGTAGCACTTCCTGTGAACTAGTTTATTTATGTCCATGGTCTGCAAACCGCGGCTCGCGAGCCACATATGGCTCTTTGGCCCCTTGAATGTGGCTCTTCCACAAAATACCACGGCCTGGGCAAGTCTATTTTGAAGAAATGGCATTACAAGAAGTTTAAAAAATTTGGCTCTCCAAAGAAATTTCAATTGTTGTACTGTTGATATTTGGCTCTGTTGATTAATGAGTTTGCCGACCATGGATCTAGGTAAACACCTTTAACATAAATAAATAGGATCAGGGAACACGGCTGTGTATCAACCAGGCATTGGAATTGATTTAGGGAAAAGCTAGCAATTTTCATTTAACCACTTTGGAAATGTTTAGGCATTATCATCCCTCCATCCACAAAAGAAAACACAGCCACAAGACAAATTGCTCTTTGAAAACCACATCAGACATTAATAACCACAGCTACAATAAAAGTTCAAGAAGCTTTAAAATATTTTTAGTTCTTTTCATCTAAAATTGTTTAGACTACCTTCAGAGAAGACTTTTCAACAATTTCCTTACTGGCAGGAGTTGAGAAGCTTTATTAAGGCCAAGGTCACTAGGATGATTTTGGTTTATAAGTTTCCTTTAAAAGAAAGAGAGAAGAAACAAAGAAGCAGCAGCAAGCACTTGTCATCCAAAGAGGGCTGACATGACTGAGTTTTGTGGAGAAGGGAAGTGGATCTCGGAGTAGAGCTTAGATCTTTCAACTTCACTTCTAGAAACCAGTTCCGTTTGGTGCGCCTCGGAGAAGTAGGTGCTTTTAAATGGTCCTCCCACTTTTAAATGGATCTCTTTAGCAGCCAGCCAAGTCCAATGGTCCTCAGCCAACGAACCCAGGGAATCCTTTAAAGTCACCCGGGACCTAACCGTGAAACCTCTTACTCAGTCCCATAACAGGAAGGCACGGGAAGATAATAAGAGAAAATGCACCTGATTAAGTCGAAGAACACTAGCCCGCCCTGGGATTGCATAACAGCAATTAAATTTTAAAAAGAGGGAAAGTACATGCCTAACAGTCCTTGCATCTGAGTCCAGTTTAGAAATCTGTTCATTTGATGAATCTTTCTGAAGCACTGAGGGCTCCACAGAGAAGTAGCACATTTTCAAGGAAGAGCCGGCATAACAGTGTCAATGGAACTAGACGGACAGAACCTTTCTAGGTCAAGAAATGAAATTAGGGGCAGCGGTTTCCCACCTCCTGTGTTCTTTTAGGCAAAATAAGCAGCAATGGGTGGTTCCAATGGGCTGGCTGTGGCTCGAATGGGTATCCTAAGAGAGCAGTCAATGCCCATTCAAAATGGCAACAAACCCTGCCTGCATTAGACTGTTGCTCTTGTGATCTTTTTGGCCAGAGTGGAGATGGAATAGCCTGTTGCCGTGGTCGGCAAACCACGGCTCGCAAGCCACATATGGCTCTTTGGCCCCTTGACTGTGGCTCTTCCACAAAATACCACGGCCTGGGCGAGTCTATTTTGAAGAAGTGGCATTAGAAGTTTAAGTTTATTATTATTCTTTTAAAATATATTTTATTGATTTTTACAGAGAGGAAGGAAGAAGGATAGAAAGCTAGAAACGTCGATGAGAGAGAAACATCGACCAGCTGCCTCTTGCACCCCTCGCCCCCACTGGGGATGTGCCCGCAGCCAAGGTACATGCCCTTGACTGGAATCGAACCCAGGACCCTTCAGTCCACAGGCTGACGCTCTATCCACTGAGCCAAACTGGTTTCGGCGAAGAAGTTTTAGTTTAAAAAATTAGGCTCTCAAAAGAAATGTCAATCGTTGTACTGTTGATATTTGGCTCTGTTGACTGATGAGTTTGCCCACCACTGGCCTGTTGGAAGGAGGGTAGCAGAGCATGGGACTGAAACTGAAGCTAAGGCTCTCCATTCAAGGGTGCTGGTCCCCAACTGGGTGACACTGGGAAAGTGAGTCTTCCGGGGCCCCGTTCTCCTGGGCTGTTATGGGAGAAAATGGAATTCCTGTGTCAAAGAAACGGGGAGCTAGGTGCCCCCAGAAGAGGAGGCATTTCTGCCCTGGCTGGACCCTGCCTGACTCAGCACTGGGACAGGAACCACTGCTGGGGATGGTTAGGAGGGGGAGCACAGAGCTCTCTAAAAACACAGAGAGATGCAGCATATTTCTAGCAGGGGCTGTTTGCCTAACGCCCTCACACAGGGAGAGTTTACAGTGACCTGACAGGTGGCTTGAGCCCAAGATTCTCTCTTATGGGAAAGCCTCTTCCAATGGCCCAGCGGAGAGGGAAAGATACTGATGTAGGGAATCTGGGATGCGGGTCTCTATAGAAAAGGCACAGGTAACGTTCTGCAGGCAGACTTCCCAGGCACAAGCCACATCAAAACGTGCTCAGGATTGTAGCTGATGGTTTCGCAATTGTTTGTTACAACAACGAACCAATGCGATTTCCACACTTGCACTTTTTGCTGTCAGCAAGGTGACGGCCTGGCCTGTTAGTACCAAATCCGCCGCCAAGGTCTTGACGGCTCTAAACGTATATATACCTCCATGTATTTTCAATTGGGGAGAGGGAGTGGAAGGGTGCACAGCTGGCTTTTTCTTTCCTTTTTGCCCCCCCACCCCAAAAAAAAAATCACCCCCCACCCCTCACCCAGTCAGAGGCTGCTTAGGAATGCAGGAGGTTATGTTGCTCCCAATCTGCTAGAGCAATGTCTGGTTCTAAAGTGAGGAAATACAAGAGACCATGAAGCTTGTCACGGATCTATTTGTTCTCTTGACTTTACAGGGTACTTTATGTGAACATATTTTTATTGCTGTCAGAGAGGAGGGGGGAGGGAGAGAGCATTCATGCTGACAGAGAATCACTGATTGGCTGCCTCCTGCATGTCCCCTACTGGGGATCAAGAAGCCAACCTAGGCATGCGCCCTTGACCAGAATCAAACCCAGGACCTTTCTGTCAGCGGGGCCGACGCTCTGTCCACTGAGCAGAACCGGCCAGGGCACAGTGTATCTTAGCACAATCACAGGGGGAGTCTGAACTTTTAAAGGACAACTGCTGTTCATTCTCCTGAGTTGGGTTTTTGGCTGTGTCTTGGGGTCCTTACCTAGAGGGGACACAACGGAGTGGCCTCTCCCCTGTCCCCTGTGTCCCGTAGAACAGTGGCGAGGCCACGCGGGGCAGTGAGCGGCGGGAGGGAGGGGGGGAGGCAGGCCTCAGCCTCATGCCTAAAACTCAGGGTGCAGGGAGGGAGGGTGCCCTGCAGTGACTCACACCAGCCCTCAGGTGGAAACGTCTCCTGATGCTCATCTCTCTGCCTCTGCAAAAGGGAGAGCTGCAGGGCGCCTCCGGACGGGCCAGCCCATCCGTCTGGGGCGGGAGGCGTGGGGGGCGCGGCCCGCCCTGCCCCGGCTCCCAGAGGCAGAGCCAGCACCCACGCCCTTGGTCTCCCGCCCCAAGGGCAGCCCCCCCCCCCCCCCATGCAGCTTTGAAGGCGGTTTTTCAAAAACCCCGCCGCTTCCTCCACTCCTTCCTGAGTCTCAGGGCGCGAGGGCGCGGCGTCACCCTCCTCCAGCTGCCCAGACCGGGACGGGCGAATCGCTGTGATACTCCGTGCAGGTCCCCCGCCGCCTGCAGCCCCGGGGACCCCGGGGGCCCCGCCGTGCCCGGTCCCCCCGCCCGGCTCACCGCCGCCCCTCCTCCCCGCAGCGCCGGGACCATGTCGGACACGGCGAGCGGCCCCACGCAGGACCAGCTGGAGATCCTGGAGTACAACTTCAGCAAGGTCAACAAGCACCCCGACCCCACCACGCTGCTGCTCATCGCGGCCGAGGCCGGCCTCTCGGAGGAGGAGACGCAGGTGAGGCCCCCGCGGCCCGGGAGGGTCCCGTCCCCGGGGCTGCGCGCCCCGCACGCGGATATTAGGGCGCCCCTCGCCCTCGCCTGGCCGCCCTCCCCCATCCTTCATCTCCGGTGCACGCACTCCGGGAGCCCGTTCCCGGGAGCCCCGGTTCTGCATCGCTCCGACCGCTGCACCCCATCTTCCCGGCTCCCTGGTGCGCCCCCTATCCCCCTACCCTAGCCCGCGGGGGGGAGGGGGGGTTCCCAGGAGCGGCTTAGAAATCTCACTTTCGTCCTTCCTTCACTCTCCCCTGTGGCTGGGGTAAGAGCTCTCTCCTTTCTCGGGGTTGGGGGGAGCGCCCCCATCCTCTCTGGCCCCGCTGGCCCGGGCTCAGTGTCCCCCTTCGGGAGAGGTGCCGCGTGCGCCCCAGCCCAGCGCCCTCACCTCTCCCCGCGGCCGGGCCAGAGCTGGAGGGGACCCTGGAGATCAGCAATAAACGACAGTCCTCAGGTTTGACAAACGAGGAAACTGAGGCCCGGGGGTGGGGGGGAGAGGGCTTGCCAGGGCGGCTGGGGTCCTTAGTTCCCTGCCACTGCCTCCCAGCTTTCCCGCAGCTGCAGAGCTAAGGTTGCATATACCCGGGAGCTATGGTTCGGATATTTGAAAACTCTCGGGCTCTCGGGTTTAATTGTTTAGGGAGTGGAAGCAGATATCTCCTTCAATGCATGGATTTTTAAAAATCTATTTTTAAAACTTTCTACATTATCCTGAAAATTGTTTAGGGTAGCGAATGAAACACTGTCCGTGGTTATTCACCTCCAGGTGCGGTGGTATTGGGTAACTCTGACTTTTTTCCCCTTTGGTCATGGAAAGGCAGTTGGTTACGCATGATGCGTACTGCTACTGGGAGCTGCTCTAGCCTCTGTCCCATGGAAGCCCAGAGCACTCACCCCTCCGGCTTGGCTCTGAGGCAGAGATAATTTTAGTCTTCCCACTGCATACCCCAGAGCCTCAGACCCCCTGTCTCTCCTCCCCAGGAGCCACGCTCAGAGGAGGCTTCAAAGCCTGCACTGGGAGCTCAGGTGGGTCCCAGAACTAAGACTCTCCACCCCCAACTCCAAAGTGATTTCTATGAATTAAGCCAGGCACCCTTTGGACAACTGGCTTCTAGAAAAGTCCTTTCCACTCCTAGGTCAGAGAGAAAGGCAGGCATCGCTGTTTTCGCAAAGGGAACAGCAGGCCGTAGTAGGAGGTGATTTGCTGTAACCCAAGTCTTACAGCTCATGTTTCTTGGAACCTGTGAGGAGGTGGCCTGCTGAAGTTTTATTATTTAAAATCCCTTGCTATATTTAGAAAAGAAGAGTGATCACAGAGACAGTCATTACTCATCGCTTAAAGAGAAGCCTGTGGGTTTATTGCGGGCACGGCACCTCTGGGGTCTAAGCTCCCCTCAGCCTCTGATTCTCCCGTGGGGAACTGCCACCGTCCCCTTACCTGTAAGGCGGGGATAATTATGTGGACCTTTGTAATGGCTGAAACTAGCAGACATTGTTCCATGCACCCTCCAAGCATTAAATCGCTTATTTGTCACAGCTGTTAGCCCTCTTGTTCAGGGAAGGGACCTGAACGGTTAGATAATTTGCTCAAGAGCAAGATCTGAGCCCGGCAGCCTGGGCACTATCCAGGCTCCTCACCAGGAGACCATGTCCTCTCCACAGAGGAGGAATGCAAACACCTCAGGGGGCTGCGAGGAAAGACTGGAATTCCATTTATGTTTCTTCCTGGGTAACATCTATGCATTAAATGACAGCCACCCCAGCTGTGTCCAGTCTTCCCTCAAGATTCACCTTCTATGACAGAACTGACATGAAATCAGGTGCGGGCCAGGAAGCAAGGAAAGGCACCTGCTTCTTTTTGGGACTGAGGCCGGCCAGTTCAGACCCCTGCACAGCAGGTGCCTCTGCCCCTTCTCCCGTTTCCTCCCGTCTGCCTTCCTCCAGCGAGCAGATGGTAGACCCAGCCCTGCGACCAGTGGGTGTGGGGGTGAGTCAGCCTCCCAGCAGGGCGACCGGCTTCCTTTTCCTGCCATGGGGTCAGCGCCTCTTCCTCCCAGAGCTGCCTTAGCGAGGCTTGCTCTCTGCCTTCCTTTTTAGACCCGCAGGGAAGCACCCCAGAGCCCAGAGCTCAGAGAGGCAACAGCAAGTTGGGGGAGGAGACTTCCAAGGTATCCCTTTGTCACCCCTTATCGGGTGGGGGCTCATCTTCCAGCTCCCCATTCTTCCCACCCCCACCCTCCTGCCCCCTCCGACTCCAGTGTGCACTGTACGTGAGAATGGTTTCATCTTTAATCTTTCAGACAGTATTTACATTTTTAAAGTATCTTTTCTTTTTAAGTATATTCTGGAGATATTATTCCAATGATGAATTTTCAGACATAAACATTTTTATTTATAGTAGGCTTTGCAGGGGCCTTTTATTTTATTTTATTATTTTTAAAAAATATATTTTATTGATTTTCCACAGAGAGGAAGGAAGAGGGAGGGATAAGAGAGCTAGAATCGTGGATGAGAGAGAAACATCGACCAGCTGCCTTCTGCACACCCCCTGCCGGGGATGTGCACACAACCAATGTGCATGCCCTTGACTGAAATCAAACCTGGAACCCTTCAGTCTACAGACTGATGCTCTCTCTATCCACTGAGCCAAACCGGTTCAGCTGCAGGGGCCCTTTAAATAACTCCTGGGGGCCAGGGGATGCGGGGCATCAGCACACCCTGTTTCTCTACTTTATTAGTGTTGTCCCTTTACACCACTCATAAAGGGCACCAAAATAGTTTTTATTTCATATCCTGGTTCCCTCATCCCTGACACGCCACGGCCCCCCGTCCCCTCCCCCCCCGAATTTGAATCCTATTGTTTATTTTCCTAGAACAAGTAATGCGCCAGTAGAGAAAATAAATAGGAGATGCTCCTAGGACAGTGGTCGGCAAACTCATTCGTCAACAGAGCCAACTATCAACAGTACAACAATTGACATTTCTTTTGAGACCCCAATTTTTTAAACTTAAGCTTCTTCTAATGCCACTTCTTCAACATAGACTCGCCCAGGCCGTGGTGTTTTTTGTGGGAGAGCCACACTCAAGGGGCCAAAGAGCCGCAAGTGGCTCGCGAGCCGCAGTTTGCCGACCACGGTCCTAGGAGATAATAATCCTCGCTGGTGATCTGGCAGGGGCAAGAGGGGCGAAAAGGTGCCACATTCTCTGCTGGGGGCCTTGATGACCTCTCCCTGACTGTCCCAACCGCAGGACAATGTTCTATGCTGTGGGAGGGGGCACCTGTGGGAAGCCAGAATGACGTGAAGGGTGACCTAATGGAATAACTTTTAAAATTGCATCTCCTGAATAGAACAGGTTTTTTTCTCATGGCAGTAATCTGATAGTGCCTCCATTGAAATTAGATAAACCTGACAGAACACCGGCCCCTGTGTCTTGCATTGTTTTGAAGTGGGGGTCAGAAGCCTCTGGGAAAGCTCTTTCATCAGCCCCCTGGGAGGTCCCGATGATCTGGCGCTTTCTATTATCATGACTCGAGCCCAGCGTCGCTGGCACTGGTTCTCAGTGAGGTTTCCAGTATTTTTATCTGCTCTTCGCGTCCTGGGACTGTTCCCAGAACTCAGTGGTTCTTTTAGTTGTAGACGTTTTATCAGTGGAATAAAGGCCTCTAAAGGTCTCCTCCTGAAAGGGATGAAATGTTAGTGACCAGAGAAAAGGACAGGGACAGTGTTATTTTGCCTCAGCCCCTCCCCATCACAGTGTCTAATTATCATCTGTTCACTTGGAGTAAATAAATCCCCATCAATGGGCGAGGGTAATGAGGGCATGCGCTTATAAGCAAGCGAGGGATGAATGTCTTTCCCAGGGGAGGCCTGAGACAGCGGAGAGCAGGCTGGAAAATTAGAATTGATGTGAGATGTGGAGAGATTCAGCTCTGCAGCGGGGGAAGCAAGCAAGGTGTTGAATGGTTTTTGTTGGACAGCAACTGCTTTGCGAAATTATTACTAGGTTTACAATACATAACTTTAGAAAATAATCGAGCTTTTCTTGAACTTTGTCCCATCCCCCGAGGTGAGGGGTTCATTTGGTTAAGCATCTAGATGCCATCTCGCCAGTTCACCTCGGTGGTCCTTGCTCGTTATTTTAGTACATTAATATTCTGCCCCGTGAATCGTGTGAAGATGTGGGTGGCTCTTCTGAATGAGGCCAGCTCACTCATTTTTGTCCTAAACGAATCCTGATAAAAATCGAGACTTTCCTCCTCCAAGTTTTAATTAGTCTTTAAAAACTCTGCCCTTTATTCAGCTCTGGCAGCTGGAAATCCTATTGAATCAGACTCTGTAGCTTTGAAAACCCCCATGGAGCTGCCTCATTAACGAAGCTGGAGCCATGCTGCCGTCCCCATCACACGGGATTTCGGAGTTAGCTAAGCACACACGTGTTACAGAAGAAATGGTGCTCGCCTTTAGCAGTAGAACTTTAATTAAAGCCACCGAAGTTACATGAGCTCTCTCTTCTCCTTAAGGTTCATTATTCCCATGTGTGAAATATGGCACCCAGACAGCAATCCCCAAAGAAAAGGCTTCCCCACGGGTGGGTCGTCAGCTGTCCCAGGACTTTCCTTGTTGCCACCTCACAGTACCAAGATGTGTAAGACAACTGACTTAACAGCATTTCAGTGTGCAAACTCTGTTGTACAGTTGGGGGGGCGAGGTTGCAGGTATGGTCGCATGCTGGGAAGCCAGCCTAGCATTGGTGCAGAGTCCTAACGTGTCCTATGGCCTCACTCCCCTCTCTCTCCACGGCCCTTGATCCTTAGAAACACTTCTCTTGTGGTTCTCACCCTTTCTTCTGATCTTGAGCTTATGCCAAAGGCCTTGCAGCTCCCTAGGTCTCCGCAGGAATGACATCTTCCCCACAGGGCCCTAGAGCCTGCCTGTTTGTTCTGAGGCTAAATGCGCAGCTGGGCAGGTGTCCATCTCTGCTAAGTCAGAACCCCTGCTTTCTTTCTCACAACACTGTTCCATCAGCACAGTGCAGGTCTAGCATCCCATAGGTGTGCTCTTTCTGCTCCCTCTCCGTCCCCTCCTCTGCTTACCCCTAGAATAGGTAAATTCTAGAAATCCCAGAAGGGACAACAGCGACCCCCCTGAGCTTACCTCTTTTACAGGTGAGCTGACGCGTGCTCTGTTTTTAGAAACTTTCTCAAGTTCTCAGAGCCAATTGGTCCCAATAGCGCTCCCTTTTGGCAGGATGCGGGACTGCAGGGCTCCCCGGTGGTCATCTACCCAAGCAGCTTTACAGCAGCAGGACATGAAAATATCAGCTTTCTAACTGTGCACCATGATGTGTGAAAGGTGGGGAAGGACCACGGAGAATAGAGTCTGCCTCCTCATAGAGTCCTCTCACTCATCCTCTCCCAGGTCCATCAGTGCTTGCTGCTTCTATTTCTCACTGGTCCCTCTTCCAGTTTTTGTTTTGTTTTGTTTTTTAAATCCTCACCTGAAGATATGTTTTAATGATTTAGAGAAGAGAGGAAAAGAGAGAGAGAAACATCGATGAGAGAAAGAAACATCGGTCAGTTTCCTCCCATACATGCCCCGAGTAGATATTGAACCCGCAACCTAGTCCTGTTTCTGACCAGGCATTATGTGCCATCACCTCCTGGATCGTAGGTTGATGCCTAACCACCCTGGCCAGGCAATCCTCCTTTCTCTTTGAACCACAGAGGCTATCTTTTAGAAGGGAATGGACATCATTTTTTTTTAATTTTTTTATTTTTAGTATGTGACAGGTAATTAATTTTCCACATTTCACTCCTCCAGAAATGGTTTAAGCAGCGCCTGGCCCAGTGGCGGAAGTCGGAAGGCTTACCCTCGGAAAGCAGATCCGTGACGGACTAAGGAGATGCGGGCATGGGCAGCTCCCCTCTATGAAGACCACCGGCTGTTTCTCTCCTGGGCTTAACCAAGCTGTTTTGGTTTGTCAGTGTCGTGTTGTATGTTCACTGTTCGCTGTCCTGCTATGTAACACAAGGTTGTATTTTTTTAATGTACATAACCAGAAAACGCAATAACAACAGAAAGCTATGTGCAGCTTCTGGGTGAAGCAGCGGTTTGACGAGGCAGGTGATGTGGCTTGCCCTCCCCTTTGGGTCACGATGACAGATGGTGTGAAAATCACTTAAGTTTGCTTTGAATCGTCACCTCTGAATAACAACTTCCTTTCAATATCCATTTCAGAGCAGGCAAGAGGGAGAAACTGTTCCTTCTGAATCTACTTCCCTAAGTTGCTTTCCTTGTGTTTCATTGAATACATTGAAGTTGTATGAGAATACAGAGGAATATTTGAGTCATTCAGGTTTCATTCAGTAGTTTGTTAGATTAAAGCTGCATTCACTTAGAAAGAACCCGGTTAGGCTAAAAGACAGAAACTGCACAAGTGACAAGACAGAAAAGCAAGTAACTAAGGAAAAAAAAAAATCCACTAAAGTCTTTGGTTTGCTTTATTTAAATGCCTTTGTTAAATTTATTTTGCTAGCCAACTGCTTTTTGTCTCTAAAATGATATTCTAAATAAAACATTAACTTTTTGTTGAAAATGCAGAGTCCTCTGAATTTTTTTTTTTTTTTTACTGAATAATAAGCACATCAAAGAAAAACAGAATGACTCCACCATAAGAGCAGACTGACAAAAGAGCTGTCATTTTCCAAATTCTTGCTACTCAAAGGGTGGTCTGGCACTGGCATCAGCTGCAAGCTTGTGAGAAATGCAGAATTTTAGGCTTTGATGCAGACCTACCAAATCGAAACCTGCATCTTTCATGAGGTCCCCACAGGGTGGACATGCACATGAAAGTTTGAGCAGCACTGTCCTAAAGGACTCTGCATTCCATTTTCACCCATCCTATATGATAAAAGCATAATATGCAAATTGTCCCCTCCACCAAGTTCATCTGGGAGTTCAACCAGGGGGGTGAGGCCAGCCGGGGGAAGGGAGGAAGGTCCCAGCTGTGACAGGTGGCTGCTAGGGATCCAGTCAGTGCACAAATTTCATGCACCGGGCCTCTAATTTTCTATAAAAGCACATTAAACATTTTAACAGCCTGTCAATTAAGGTTGTATTTAACTGTATGGAACAAAAACTTGATTACAGTGAATTAACCAAATAGACTTTTTGTCTATTTCTTTAAATGATTATTGTTTTAACATAGAACACCAGCAGATAGGTGGCTCCCTAATGTTGTCAAGAAACTACGGTCATTCTTGTCTTCCTACTCTGCTATCTTTAGCATGAGGCTCTTGTGTTCATGGATGCAAGATGGACAGTTGGTCATTGAGTATGCATGTCAAGGAGGGAAATAAAGGAAGAGAAAAAGAAAGCCAATGCCAGCTAAGACTCTCCCCTTTAAAAAAATTTTCCTGGGAGCCTCCCACCCAGCAATTTTAACCTGCATATCACTGGCCAGAATTGGGTCACATGGCCATTTCTAATTCAAGTGAGTGTGGTAAGGTGAGTGTTTTATTTATTTATTTATTTATTTTTATATTTTTATTGATTTCAGAGAGGAAAGTAGAGGGAGAGACAAAGAAACATCAATGATGAGAAAGAATTATTGATTGGCTGCCTCCTGCATACCACACACTGGGAATTGAGCCCGCAACCCAGGCATGTGCCCTTGACTGTAATCGAACCTAGGACCCTTCAGTCCATAGGCCGACACTTTATCCACTGAGCTAAACCAGCTAAGGGTAGTAAGGTGAGTATTTTAAATTTGGCATATTGTGCCTTGAGCAAAATCAGGTGTTTTTTTGGGTAAGAAAGAAGCAGATGGAGTGGATATTGGAAAAGCTATATGAGTGTCTGCCAACCCAGCCTGGAATGACACTAACGGACACTTCTGAACTCTTGCCTACGCAGTCTTTTCAGTTCTTTAAAATAAAAAGTCCAAAATAAGAAACACTAGCAGTTACCCAGAGTACAAATGTTTACAAGATCTCCTTAAACATCCTTGATACGCTTCCCCTTCCTCTACCTTAAAACATTTCTACTGTAAACAATACACAGTGAACTAGAAACTGAACAGAACAGCCTCATCTGCCACCCTCCCTTGCACCATCAGTAGTGGTGGTCTGAGCATCTGTCAGCAGCCAGGGCTGGATACTGACATCACTTTCTGGACAGAAAGAAGAGGGAAGGTGACAATGAGACAAGAATGTGTGCACATGCCAGACTCTAACCAACAGATAGGGAGGAAGAACTGTGGGCAAAGTGGACTCAGAGCTTGGTGATTTGTCCATGTCAAGCAGTGAGAGAGAAGATAAACCAGGTCTAAGACCCTTGTCAGAAGTCTTTCTGGAATAACAGAGATATAATTCAAGAACAATCCATCCAGGACAAGAAGAGCTGACCTACTGGGCAGAGAGTGTGCCTTTATCTTGGTGCTGGGAAGAACTGTTTATGACAGAAGGATTGCTTTTTATGCTTATCATGCCAAAAGTCACGAATCCTTGAATGGCACATGCTGGGAGGAAATGAAGATTCATGTCCATTCATGTATTCTAACAAGAGCCAACTTTTTTATTCACTCATTTCTTGCTTTTGATGATATCTTTAGCCCGAGAAATTTTTATCATAATCCTTAACTACCACACAAGTGCAACCAACCACTTTAAGGGGTTTTTCCTCTCTCTCAATTTTTTCAGAGGGCCTACCCATCTCCCTAGTTTTTTGTTGTCATCAATATTAATGAGGTTGAAAGGACTTATATGCATACATATGAGCCTAACCAGTGGTCAAGGACAACAGGGGGGTGGGGGCTTTAGTGGGGGGTGATTGGAATGGGGGGTTGAGGACAATAAATGATACCTTAATCAATAAAGACATTTTTTAAAAAATCTCAGCCACGGAAGATACCTGATGAAGGGGAGTCAAAGAGTACATAATTACCTTGAAAGATGTTCTTCCAGTTTGGATATGTGCTGATGATTTAGCCATTCTAAGTAGCCCATTACTAACAATATCTATAAGAACTGGGAAGCAATTCAATCTCTTGGTCTTGCACACTAATGAAAAATTGTAATTCTAAAACAGAAAAAGCAAGGTTATAAATTCTCAGAGATCTTAATTTTTTTCTGTAAATAAGTAAACATTCAATATTTTAATTAAAAATTGTTTTAAAAATAGTGTTAAATAATCTGAATTTTAAAAATTGTGTTAAACCTAAACATGTAAAATAAAATAAAAATAAAAATAAATATTAATGAGGTTGATTTGGGGCCTCCACAAACTTGACACACACAGGGTCATCACAGATAAAGCAAGCTCACTCAGGTGGTTTTAGCCTTTGTCTAAGCTTTGGCAGCTCCTCGAGTTCCATGTTAGGCCATGATGGCTGAGGCCGGTCTTCCACACCTTTTGTAAAGTAGTCTTAACATCCATTACCCCTCCAGCTGCAGTGCCTCCCTCAGCCATGGCCGTGGTGGTGGGGTACAGGTTGGTAGCAGGTGAGTTGCCAATGGAGCCAAATCTTGAATGTCCCTGAGCTGCTGCTTCAGTGCGGCTGGATGGCAGCAGGGAAAGAATCGGTGCATTTAAATGGGAATTTAACAACATTCCTGAGTTTACTTTTTCAACTGTAGTGCAAGGATAGCAATGCTTTACTTGTGAAAAGGCACTTTGTAGAGAGTAATAATGATAATAACTATTGCCACAAAGTTCTAACGAGGACAGGGTGAGGTACACTTTGTCTCCTGAGATAAGTCTAAGGGAGAACCCAGAGCTCTTTCAGTTCTGTTATCAGGAGCCTCTTCTGGACACCCAGGGTCACACATCAGAGTGATCATACCCACCCCAGACTGAGGAAAACTCTGCACAGTCTCTCTTTCTTTGCCTTGTGTTGTCCGAATTTTTCCATTGCAGACACTGTTGCTTAGGCTGATATTTATCTTCAACCCCTTTCTCTGTCACCATCTTTTTAAAAAAAATATATGTATATTTTTTATTGATTTTTCAAAGAGAGGAAGAGAGGGACAGAGAGCCAGAAACATCCATGAGAGAGAAACATCAATCAGCTGCCCCTTGATCTCCCCTCCTCCCACTGGGAATGTGCCTGCAACCAAGGTACATGCTCCTTGACCAGAATTGAACCTGGGACCTTTCAGTCCACAGGCTGATACTCTACCCATTGAGCCAAACTAGTTTCAGCACCACCTTTTTCTATTCAAGGTTGTAGAGGCTGAAAAACTGGAATACTCCCTCCTCCATCTTCACATGGAAACTGAGGTCATGTGACATGATCTAGCCAAGGACATTTAGGTTGAAAACTGGTGGAAATGAGGGAGGCCTTGAAGAAGGGTTTTGTCTTTCTTGGTAAAAAGTATAGAGGCAGTGCCCGGCCACCATGGCTCAGTGGTTAAGCTTCAACCTATGAACCAGGAGATCACAGGTCATGGTTTGAGTCCTCGTCAGGGCATGAGCCTGGGTTGAGGGCTAAATCCCCGGTGTGGGGCATGCAGGAGGCAGCTGATCGATGATTCTCTCTCATCACTGATGTTTCTATCTCTCTCTCCCCCTCTCCCTTCCTCTCTGAAATCAATAAAAATATATAAGAATAAAGTACAGAGGCCGCAGGCCCTGTCCTTTTCTCCTTTCTTTCTTGCCTTGAACCAGTGTAATTTGTTAATTGTAGAACTAGAGAAAAGCAAAAAAACTAAGACATACAATACAAGCCATAAAAATTACCCGTGACCCCAACCAGTCAGAATAATCTTAATATTAAACTTAATTAGTAAAGTGTTATACTAAGGGTAAAGTGTTATACTAAAACTATACTATTTTTTTATTTAACTTTTAATCAGAGGGTCCCATGACTCTCTCCTTGGGTTTGATTAATTTGCTAGAACAGCTCACAGAACTTAGGAAAACAGTTTATTTATTATAAAGGACATAACTCAGGAATAGCCAGATGGAAGATTGGGAGAAGGGGTGTGTAGTTTTCCCACCCTGTCTGGGCACCGACCCACATGTTCACCAACCCTGAAGTTCTCTGAATCTTGTACCTTAGGGATTTTTATGGAGGCTTCATTATGTAGAAATGATTTAGGCATGATTGATTAAATCATTAGCCATCCAGGATTAAACTCAATTTCAGCCTCTGGCTCCTGTACCTGGAGGTCCAGGGTGATGGGAGTGGAGTTGAAAGTTCCCACACTTTAATTCAGTGATTTTTGGTCTAGATGCACCGCACACAGTGTATGGCCAGAATTTTAAAAACATGAAATACATGACTATTTAGTCAGGGGCACTGATCTCTTTTCTTTAGATTGTCAAATAAAAAAAATAAAAAAACGACAACAGCCAACACAACAATAGTTGTCCAGTGTAAATGAATCAAAATCATACCTATTTTTTTGTCAGATCAGCAAAAATATAATTTTTGTGTGCTGCAGAACTTTAGTAATTAGCTTATGTGTGCCATGAGATGAAAAGGGCTGAAAATCGCTGCTCCAATCACATGGTTGGCTCCCTTGGCAACAAGCTCCCATCCTGTCTGGGGCTTTCCAAAAATCGCCTCATTAACATAAACTCAGAGTAGGCTGAAAGCACTTGTTATGAATAACTAGACCTTCCTTTCACCTTCATCATTCTGGAACTCGTTCAGAAACTGGAACTATTTGAGGGCAAAATACCAAATATTAAAACGAAAGATACTCCAGCTCTCTCTTTAATATATAATTGATTTTAAAGAGGAAGGGAGAGGGAGAGATAGAAACATCAATGATGAGAGAGAATCATTGATTGGCTGCCTCCTGCATGCCCCCTACTGGGGATTGAGCCCGCAACCCAGGCATGTGCCCCTGGCTGGAACCGAACCCAGGATCCTTCAGTCTGCAGGCTGATACTCTATCCATTGAGCCAAACCAGCCAGAGCTCCAGCTCTCTTATTACTTAGAACATTACAAGGCTTTCAGGAGCTGTGTGGCAGGAGCAGAATGAAGATCAAATATATGGATTTCTTAGTCTAAATCACAATGGCACAGGTGGAAAGATTCTTCCTAAAAATAATTTGCTCTTTTGTTTATAATAACACCTTGATTTGTTAAGGGTTTTTTTTTGGGGGGGGCGGGGGGTTGTTGTGTTTATTTTTCTTTTTGGGGGGTTGGCTGTGAAGCAAGTCTAATAGGAGGAAAAAAATAAAAAAATTCAGTAGCTGTGCACAAAAAAGTAGCAGAAATTTAGGATTGTGTCGTGTGGAAGCTCAGGTAGGAGGATATTTGGGGTCCTTAAACACTTAGGGAAGAGATGGAAGAGAATGATCTGCAAAGGTCATGGGTCAACAGGAAAGCTGCCCCAGAAGGCGGGTAGAATTGGCTCAGAAACTGTAAAATGTCAAATATTCTATTTTATTTTATTTTTAAAAATATTTTTATTGATTTCAGAGAGGAGAGGAAAGGAGAGAAGAGGAGAGGAGAGGAGAGGAGAGGAGAGGAGAGGAGAGGGAGAGGAGAGGAGGGAGGGGAGGGGAGGGGAGGGGAGGGAGGGGAGGGGAGGGGAGGGGAGGGGAGGGGAGGGGAGGGGAGGGAGGGGAGGAGGGGAGGGGAGGGGAGGGGAGGGGAGGGGAGGAGACGGGAGGAGAGGAGAGGAGAGGAGAGGAGAGGAGAGGGGAGGGGAGGGGAGGGGAGGAAGGGGAGGAGAGGGGAGGGGAGGGGAGGGGAGGGGAGGGAGAAATAGAAACGTCAATGATGAGAGAGAATCATTGATCGGCTGCCTCCTGCATGCCCCACTCTGGGGATCAAGCCCACAACCCAGGCATGCACCCTGACTGGGAATCAAACTGTGACCTCCTGGTTCATAAGTCGATGCTCAACCACTGAGCCACACTGGCCAGGCTCAACTATTCTATTCTAAGTTAACATCTGTGCAGCACTGAGCCATTGCTCTTTGTTCTCCTCGGCCTTTAGGAAAGCTGAACCGCACAGCATGCCCTAGCACTGGTGATGCTTTGTGGGGCGCGGAAGGAGCTGCTTGAGCCATGTTTGCAGTGTGCAGTGGACTGCAGAAACATTTGTGTCTGTCTGCTATCTTGCTCTTGTAAAGGGGTAACAGCACTCCTTTCCATTTGGAGAATGTCTATGTCATTGGGGTGTCCTGGAAAAGCAGTTAATCTCAGTGCCCCAGCTTCCCCACCCTATTACAATGTCTTTGCACACAAGGACTAAACCGAGGCATGGGCTCATGCCTTCAGCTGGGTCAGGGTTAGTTCTCTGTCATTCTCTTGCACAGAGAGTTGTGGGGATGGAGGGCTGGGGTCTTGGGCAGCCATTTACCCAGCCATGTAGAGAAGGACACTCTGTAATGTGAAAGAGTGAAGCCAGGCAGAGATAGGAGTTGGAAAGAAAGACCAGGCCCTGGTTCCCACTCTTCCCTTGGGCTACCCCAGCCTTCCTGGCTCTGAGAACTAATGAATTCCCTTCTTAGTGTATATCTGTCATTTGCAAAGAGAATCCTAAGTAGTGGCAGAGTGCAGAAAAGAGGAGAAGAATTCATCAAAGGAGGAAGCCAGCCACTAGAGTAATTAAGCATCAGAAGAAGCAGGACTATATAGGCCAATAAACCTTGAAAATAATTGGGCAGAGAAGCAGACTTTCCTCGTCGGATAGAGACTGAGAAAATTTATTTTTGCATATCGAAGGAAAAGATGACAAATAGATTATTCATAATATCCAGTATGTACTTTTTTGAACTATGTACACATGTATGGTATAATAGATAAGAGCTGTCACCTTCTTGGGACACCTTGCTACAGTCTCTTCATTTTTGCCACCTCGTTTTAGAAATCTTGTTTCGTATTATTCCACAGTCCACTACACAGTCATCAAAAAACCTCCTACCAACTGTTTCAAATGCATCCCTGCCCAAACTCAGTGCCAAGGTAACTAGCAATAACAACGGTAATAAGAAAAATCATTTGAAACTTCACATTCTTTCCCCATGATGGAAATACTGAGAAGTGAGAGGTAGTGGCGCGAACATAAGTCAGGCAAGGATCTGGGACACCAGCCACTGCTTATGTTGGCAAGACAGGAGGGCAAGATCTTTTGGTTTTATGGAGCCTGGTGCTGGGATGTGTGGTTTACAGTAAAAACAACCGTAGGCATGAAGAAATGAGGGTTTCTAGAGACCTTCTCCCCTCCTGTCCCCAGCAGTTGCCCTCCTATTTCAGCACAGCTGCACTGAGGATGGGCTCCCATAAACATAAGTTTCAGTGGAGCTTCTTAAAAGAGTTTACCCTTTGCACTTAGAAAAACATAAGAAACATTGGAGTTGAATCTCCATCTGACTACTAAATACAGTGATACACTGACTCATGGCTCATATGACTCATCCTTTGAGTTCCAGATTAGCAATGCAGGAGGATTTTCTTTCCTCCAGATGGGCGCTCCTCTCCCTGTTCCTTTTTTTTTTTTTTTAATATATGGGAACTTGACACCGTCTGGGAGTAAAGAAGACAAATTTCTGGGGATCATGATCCTAAGGATAAGAATCCTCGGGTCATGGGAACTATAATCCAGAAGCATAGACTCCTTCTGGATACAGAGTGTACTCACATGTGAGAAGGAAAGTGCACCCGAATGCTGACTTGACAGAGGGGAGAGCTGATGGCCGAGCTTCTGTTTGCCCCTCAGGCAGTCTCTCCTTCCTGTAGTTCTAGCTGAGGAGATGGCTGCCTAGCTAAAGACCACATTTTTTCACCTCTCATATAAGTAGGTGTTTTAGCCAGCCTACAATAACCTGGTTATTCACGCCTTTCTGTCGTCCCTTCTCACACGTGCTACAGTTAGTCTGTGTGACCAGTAAAAAAGGCAGAAATGGGGAATGTCACTTCTGAGATGAAGTTCTACAATAAAAGACACACTGTAGCCTCTCTCTCTCTCTCTCTCTCTCTCTCTCTCTCTCTCTCTCTCTCTCTCTCTCTCTCTCTCTGTAGCCCTATGAAGAGGCCCACATATCAAGAAACTGAGGCCTCCTGACAACCATCAGTGAGGACAAAATTCTGCCAAAGACCATGTGAGTGAATTTGGGAGATCTTCAGTGGCCAAAGGAGGAATCAATAAGGTCATGAAAGATGATTGGTACCCACAGAGACATCTGGAATAGAAATTCCTTTATGACCAAACAACACAGCTGAGAAGAAAATGAAAAATATCAGGTTCTTCATTCATTTATTACAATACCCATTCTAATTCAAAACAATCAATGCCAACAAAACCATGTGTATTTGTCTGTATACTGTTGGCTACAAGGGATTGAATATCCAACTGAAGGTGGCTTTTCATTTTCTCATATAACAGAGGTAAGAGACTTCAGATTTGGCTAATCAACCATCTCACTAGGCTAGAGCTCTAGGTTATCCCTGAAAGATTCTCTTCTCGGCCTCCTCATGGTCACAGCATGACTGCTCCAGTTCCACACATCACATCCCACATCACGTCATCCAAAGACAGGAAGGAAAATCCCTTTTTGTCTCTTCAGGCAGCTCTCATTTTGTTTTGTCATGGAGGAAAAACCTTTCTCAGAATCCCCCAGCAGTCTTCCCCTTACCCCTCATTGTCTGCAATTGGATCACATGCCCTCCCTACTACTTGCCTAGAATTGGCCAAGATGGCCAGCACTTACAATAGATTGACACATAGCAGGAGATCATTAAATATTTGTTAAATAGGGGGGGGGGGGGGGAGAAGTGAACTGGATTACCATGGCTGCCTTACACTAATTACAGTCTGTTTCCTAGAATCCATTTTCCTAGAACACATTGTCAGTTGATGGCTCAAGAAAACTGGCATTTTCTTATCAAGGAAGAAGGAATGGCTATCGGGCATTCCCCGGCAGCATATGTCACGTTATGCTATTTCTTCTTAAAGCAGAGAACAGAGCAACCAAGGAACGAGCTTATTATTTTCTAATGGTAACTCTGAAAATAAATGTTCTGGGATTTAAACAAACTTTTCTTGCAAGAGGGTTTCTCACAGCTTGAGCATCAGTTCTTCGGGATATTCTCTCTCTGACCCAAGTCAGTCTTGACTAGGTGTCTTTCCTGTGTATTATCACCCCCTTTACCTTCCTATAGTACAACACTTAACACAGCAGGTCATACTTCCCTGTTTGTTCTTCACCCCTGCAGGAGAGGTTCTTTATGTGTTCACCAAACTGTTTCTTTTTCCTTCCGTGTACTCACTACATTTCCTGACCTCCTCTGCGGTTAGGTGTGGCCATATGACTGAGTCTGGTCAATGCAATGTGGGTAAGGTGATGTATGCCACTTCTGGGCTTGGCCCTACAAACCAGCCATGCAATCTCCTAGCTTTCTCTTTTCAATCTGCTGGCTAAATGGAAGACTGTGGATAGAGAAAAATGTGGAAGGACTCAGAATGACTGCTTGGAGCAGAATATCTCTTCTTTTATCAACTTTAAACAGATGAAATGCATGAAGAGTACATTTTTTTTTATTAGGCTAAGCCACTGAGCATTAGGGGTGTGTGTGTGTGTGTGTGTGTGTGTGTGTGTGTGTGTGTGTTACAGCAGTTATTCCATCCCAATTAACCTTCCCCCATTAGAATGAAAACCTCTTCAAAATAAAAGCCTCCTCTATCTTATTTATTATACCATGGTATCCCTTGCCCTAGCATAGTGTCACATTTTAGTTCCTTGATACATTTTTTAATGAAATAAATGTAATTTTCTCAACTTGTACCTACCAAGTCCCAAAATAATTTTAACTTTGTACTATTATGTTGGTAATGTTTTATCCCTTCTCAGAGCTCAACATTGAAATGAACTGTAAATCCCTTTCAAGGTGGCTGGGGTTACATGTGGTGGTTGTCCTACTTGGCAACGGGAAAGGAAGGAAAAAGCTGCCTCTCTCGCTTTGAACCTGCCTTCCTAGGAAGAAGAACCCCGGAGGACAAAGGGAATGGTGAAAGCTTTCTCCCAATTTTTATGGTATATTTAAAAGGACACTTAAAAAAAAAAAACACACAAAAAAACAGCATTTCAAGGTCAGTGTCAACAAGGTGCTGTGATGTAAAGTCAAGTGAGATAGGAACATCCTTGTTTCTCAGTGGTTTTTGAAACACCAATGACATCACCTGAGGTATCTCATTAGAAATGTAAATTCTGTATTTTTTTATCAGTTCTTTTCTGCTCAAACACTACTATCTACCGTGTGCGCGTGTGTGTGTGTGTGTGTGTGTGCGCGTGTGTGCGCGTGTGTGTGCGTGTGTGTGTGTTCTTGTTTTTCAGTAAGTGAAATGGAAATTATTTCAGCATCTCCCATTTCACCAAATCCCTCTGTTTTATAACCAGCTAATGCCCATGCTAGGAAACGACCCCAAAAATAAAGCTGCAGGGTTTCCTTCCTGCTGGGTGGAGCAGTCACAGGTGTCCTCTCTGGCCTCTGATGTGATTGTTTCTCTTCTGTCACTCTGCTGCTCAGCATTGCCGGTTCCCTATCATCCGATCCTTGCAGATTTCATGCTGCCAGGAGCTTGGCCCAGGGTAAGGGAGTTGTTGGCTTCTTTTTTATCTCAAAAATGACCACTCGAATTCTCATTGTTGATGTAAGTGTAAAATAATTCAACCACTTCAGGAAAACTATTTGGCAGTATCTACTGAAGTTAACTAATGACCAGCAAGTTCACTCATAGATATATCCCCATGAAAAATGATTGTGAGGCCCTAGTTGGTTTGGCTCAGTGGGGAGAGTATCAGCCTGCAGACTTAAGGGTTCCGAGTTCAATTCCGGTCAAGGGCGCATACCTCTGTTGCAGGCTCCTCCCTGGCCTGGGCCCTGAATGGGGCTCCTGCAGGAGGCAACCAATCGGTGTGTTTCTCTCAAATGGATATTTCTCTTGTCTTTCCCTCTCTCTTCCACTCTATATAAAAACCAATGGGAAAATATCCTTGGGTGAGGATTTTTTAAAAATCTTCTAATTTCTGTTTCTTCATCCATTTCTATCTTTGCCACAAATTGTCTTCAACTTCTGGGGATGAATGAAAAAAAGAAAAAGTTAACACATTGTTTGGTGGATTTAATTAAGACCACATGGTTTGAGATACAAGCCCAGAGAGGTTTGCCAAACAGAATGAATATGGTGCCAAAGCAACTGGTGATCTGCTAGCAATGGAGGGTTCACACCGTCAGAAGCTAAGACTCGAAGGCCAAGATTAAAGACTGTGAAATAAACCCAGTGCGATAATAAATACAAAAGAGCAAGAGTGCAGGCCCATTGTAAAAGTCCTCCCATTTCCAGCTTCTTGTATCACTTTTTTTTTTTGTTTAAAACTTCACAAACCATAAAATCCAGGTTTTTCAGGGCAAAAGAGCCAACCCATTTGGGCAGAATCCAACTTTTGTTCCAAAGTGGAACCAATGTTCCTCTGCCCACAGTTGAATCACAGAAATCTAATCTAAAATGAGGAGGGAGGGGAGGACCGGAAAGCATAAAATATGCCCTCTTCAAAATACTGAACATTCTGAATCGCCCACAGAAAGGAACACATGCTGGTTTCGGAAAATTAAGGAGCTGTCTTGACTTGGAAGAGGATTCTGTCCTTGAGGGCATGCAGGTTTCTTTGAAGATTACTGTTAGTGAAGACAGCAGGGCATGAAAATAGTCGATTCTTGAGTGAACTTAGCTTGCTTAGCAGGCATGAGCTCTGGGCCAGAAGCTCAAGTTGCTGCATATTGGAGTTATGAGTAGAGCTTTAAAAACCACTAAAGCCTGACTTGGCCGGTGTGGCTCAGTCATTGAGTGTTGACCTATGAACCAGGAGATCATGGTTCATGACAGGATTGAACCTCAATCCCCCGTGTGGAGCATGCAAGAGGCCGCTGATCAATAATTCTCTCTCATCATTGATGTTTTTATTCCTCTCTCCTTCTCCCTGCCTCACTGAAACCAATAAACAAACAAAACAACGGAAACCAATAAAAAAAAACAAACAAAAAAACAAACAAAAGCAAACAAAAACCACTGATTGAGGTTCTTAGAACCTAAACCTGACAGAGTACTTGGAAGACTACCAAATATCCAATAAATATTTGTTGCTGTAGGATAAAGTAAGCTAGAAAAATATTTTTATTGGTATATAATTTACATATGAAATTCACCATTTTAAAGGGTACATGGTTCAGTGGTTTTTAGTATATTCAGAGTTGTGCAACCAGCACACTATATAATTCCAGAAAATTTCTATCACCTCCACAGAGAGTCTCCATACCTATGAATAGTCAGTCTGTATCCCCTACTCCCCTAAGCTACTAGTAAACATTAATCTATCAATACTTCATGTCTTTATGGATTTTACCTATTCTGGACCTTTCATATAAATGAAGTCATACTTACATGTGGCCTTTTGTGTTGGTTTTTTGTGTTTTTTTTTTCACTTATACGGTTTTCAAGATTCATCCATTTTGTATCATGTAATAGTAATTCATTTTTATGGCTGAATAATATTCCATTGTATAGAAATGCCACATCTTCTGTTCTTTCATTCATCAATTGATAGACATTTGCATTATTTCCACTTTTTGGCTATTATGAATAATGCAGCTAGGAACATTCATGTACAAGTTTTGTTGTGAATGTCTAGTTTCATTTTTGGGTGGTATATGTCTAGGAATGGCATTGCTGGCTCACATAGTAATACTATATTTAACTTTTTGAGGAACTGCCAAATGCTTTCCCCAGTGTTGCACCATTTTACACCAGCAAGTACACGAGAATTTCAATTTTTCCATATTCTTGCTAATCTTTGTTATTTTTATTGTTAAACTTTTTAATCAATTTTTAGAGAGAGAGAGAGATCAATGTGAGAGAGAAACATCAGTCAGTTGCCTTTTGCACACACCTAGACTGGGGATCAAACCTGAAACCTGGGTCAGTGACCTGACCAGGAATCAAACCCACCACTTTTTGGTGTACAGGACAATTCTCCAATCAACTGAGTCACACTGGCCATTGTGTTACTTTTATTTAAAAAAAATATATAGTGTGTATGGAGTGGTACTCATTGTGATTTTCATTTGCATTTTTCTAAAGATTAATGATGTTGAGAAATGTCATTAGAGACATTTAGAGAAATGTCTATTTAAATCCTTTGTCTATTTTTAAATTGGGTTATTTGTCTTTTTTATTATTGAGTTGTAAGAGTTCTTTATGTATTCTGGATACTTGACCCTATCACATATATGGTTTGCAATTTTTTTTCTCCCATTTTATGAATTGTCTTTTCACTTTCTTGAGAGTATCCCTTGATACAGAAACATCTTAATTTGATCAAGTCCAATTTACCTATTTTTCTTTGGTTGTTTACCTGTCATCACACCTAGGTCATGCTAATTTTGATAACAAATACAACAGTCGCATGTGTCTAGTTAGCTGTGGTAGGCAGCATCTAAGAATCCCCCATCTGACATTCATGCTCTTGTGGAATCTCCTCTCCTTGGTGGCTAGCCCCTATCATAGAAAGGATGGGAGGTCAATGCCAAGGTTAGGTTGAAAAAGACCATGCCTTCTGTCTAGCTCTTTTGCTCACTCTCTTACTCCTGCTGTGGGAGGCTGCTTCCATGATGGGAGCTGGCCCATGGAGAGGGCCACATGCCAAAGGACTGAGGGAAGCCGCTGGCCAACAGCCAGCAAGGAGCTAAAAGCACAGTGTGGGCTGCACCTACATTCCAGACCCACAAAAACTGAGTTTCAGGGTAGTTTGTTACAAAGCAATAGGTAAAGTGTAGAATAATTTTTTGCAAAGGCAAAATGAGGCAATGTAATAAGCTAAACTAAAGCCTTGACAGCAAAACACTCTTGCCTCTAAAGATAAATGACTAGAATTCATCTGGCTAACCAAATGGTATTGACTGAGCCATCACAGTATAAGTTGTTTTATTTACTAAAGGAATTTCAAATCAAATAAATGTAATATATTTAATATATTTATTTAATACTCATATTTAGAATATAAATAAAATACTACCTAATAAAACAGTAATATATAAATTAACCATCACTCTGATATACCCACAAGCCACACCCATCAGCCAATCAGGAGTGTGTATGCAAATTAACCCAACCAAGATGGCTGCAGTCAGAGAGAGAGCAGGAGGGAGGCTAGGGTTGCCCTTGGCAATGAAGGCAGCCAAACTTTCCACACACTCTGGCCAGCCCAGGCTGCTGCTTAAGGCTACAAAGTTTCAATTATAGAAGATAAATAAATTCCAACAGAAATGGCTGCCACCACAGAGCAAGCAGAAGGCTTGGCTCTGCTTTAGGCTACAAAGTTTCAATTTTAGAAGATAAATAAATCCAGATACCAGGGCCTCTGCTTGGGTTGTCCTGCAAACCACCACAGGCCCTTCACCTAGATGGCCCCCACCCATGCACCAGGCCTCTATCTTGTCTAATAAAAGAATAATATGCAGAGTGACCATCACTCCAACATACAATATGGCTCCCCCCCTGTGGTCAAAGATGAGTGCTCCCATGTGGACACAAGATGGGTGCCACAAGATGGCCAGCAAGGGAAGGCAGTTGGGGACAATCAAACCTGCAGGGAAGGGCAGTTAGGGGTGACCAGGCCAGCAGAGGAGGGAAGTTGGGGGCAAACAGGCTGGCAGGGGAGCAGTTAGACATCAATCAGGCTAGCAGGCAGAAGCTATTGGGGCAGTCAGGAAAGCAGGCAGGTGAGCAGTTGAGAGCCAGCAGTCCTGGATTGTGAAAGGGATGTCCAAACAGGCAGTCGGACATCCATCAAGGGGTCCCAGATTGGAGAGGGTGCAGGCTGGGCTGAGGTACACCACCCCTTCACTCCCATGCATGAATTCTATGCACCAGGCCTCCAGTAATATTATAAACTACATAATTAATTTTAGATGAAAAACACCTGTGTTGCCCAGCCAATGAGGGTCAATGGATTAAGTGTTGTTCTGTATGCCAGGAGGTCAGGTTTCAATTCCTGATCAGTGCACATGCCTGGGTTTCGGGCTCAATCCCCAATAGGGGGTGTGCAAGAGGCAGCCAATCAGTGATTCTCTCTCATCATTGACGTTTCTCTCTTCTCTCTCCCTCTCCCTTCCTCTGAAATCAATAAAAATGTGTTTTTAAATAGCTTAGCATGCTGCAATTAATAAGCAAGTCATTAACTATCTCTGAAGCCAAGAAAGTTCCAAAACAATGGCAGCAACCTACGAGGTCCTGTTGGATTTTGCTGAGTCTAAACAAGGATAGTAATCAAAGCACTTGCCTGACACTGTCTGGAGGAAAAGCCACAGCAGGGTCAAGTCTAGCACACATCCCAGACAGAGGGGTGTTTTGCTCCGAGGAGCTGAGCAGCTGACCGGAGGGAAGAGAGAACCTTTGGTATTCCTGCCCTGGCCGGCGCTGTCATTCCTTTCATCCTCTCTCATACGGCATCTGCTCTGTTGTCCAGTCCCGGTACAAAATACTTATTCCATAAAAGCACATGTGCGTCTGGAATGACAATAAGAAGAAGCCGTTCCCTTTACTTTTTTTCTCCTCTGCACTCCTTAATGCTTGGGGGTTGGGGCGTTGGAGAGCCACAACGAAGAGCAAAGACAAAGAATTAGAGTCTTATGAGTCAATTAATACAATTAATTTACTGCTTTGAAGCC